TAACAGATCAAGCTGATGTAACGCTAGAGACAAAAGAATTAAGGTAACAGATCAATTGAATTATGTAGGTGATAATTTGGATAGTCAGGTCGATACAGAGAAGGAAATTATGCCACACACTGGCAACGTATCAACAACTTTTAAAATCAAAGTAAAATATAGAGCTATAAACTGTATCGTGAAACTAAATTACGTATTTTCAGTTTTAACAAACGCCAGTGAACGTTGGAGAGCAACTAAAGACATAAAATGAAAGTTAAATGAGTTTGAAAACAAAAGTTTGAGGGCAATGAAAATAAAATTGGATGAATTCAGGAGGTATGAAGAAATAAAAGAAATGTCCGGATAGCCAATGGAAACAAAAGTAATACGATAAATAAAATGGCGCTATATTGGACATATCCTGATCAGAAAGTAGTAGAGGAACACCAAGCAGACACTCAAAAGGGAATAAAAGGATTGGGGAAAGGGAAGGTAAATGAGAAAGGCCAGAAATGCTGGATTTAACATCATCCATAATATCGAAAGAATTGCACATGAAGGGATTGAATGGAGCAAAAGACTGCAAATTCTTTGTGATATATAATGGCACAACGGGACAATGATAATGATAATGAGTGGACGAGATAGATCCAATGTCTGGATTATAGGGCTGCACCGAATAGTGATTTTCACTATTCGGCCGAATACGAAAAACGGGACCAACTATTCGGCCGAATACGAATACGAATACAAATAGTGTATAGTGTTAGTTAGTTAGTTAGTTAGTTAGTTAGTTAGTTAGTTAGTTAGTTAGTTAGTTAGTTAGTTAGTTAGTTAGTTAGTTAGTTAGTTAGTTAGTTGGGTTATCCTCATTGCACTCCGGACATGTCCATAGGTGCTCAGATACTCCCCTCAGTATGAACCCCAACGTCCGATAACTAATAGTACCAGTTCTATGTTGATTAACAAGTCTTCTGGCGTGTCTGGTGTGCGTCTCGTTTTTCGCTGTACCGATCCTAATTCCCAAGTCTGCCATTCTGGCGAGTGATGTGGATTCACTGCCACCAAAGTCCTCTATCCTTCCCATTTCTCTGAGGGCATTGATAATATCAGCATGATCCATAGGCTGACCGTTGGTAGTGATAGCGGATCCAGCCAACCTGTCAGCTCTTTCATTTCCATCGACGCCTGTGTGTCCCGGAACAAAAATAAAGGTGACTCCACGCACAGTGGACTTCTGTAATGATTCAAGCCATTGTCTTCGCACTGAACCTGCCTGAACCCTCCGGATCATACTCATTGAATCACTGAGTATACACATGCGGGTGTATTTTTGTGTTTCAAGCCAGGCAAGTGCTTGCGTCACTGCCATCACCTCCATCGTCATGCTGCTGGTTGTCATATAGTGTATGAAATAAAATGAAAAAAAAATTAAAAAAAACATTCACAATGTCAAATGTACGCTGAACTTTGACTTCACATATTGCAGCACAGAATACTCATCTTCTTCTTTAGCATTCTGGGTCCTTGAGGTTTACTACTGCAGATATCACTCGCCTCCATTCATCTCTCTGGCTGGCCTTCTCTTCACAATTTGTGACACTAGCTGTTTGCAGGTCTGGCTGGACATTATCTTTCGATCTTCATTTGTGTCTGCCTCTTGGTCTACGCCCATTCCTCTCTCAGGTGTATACAGTTTTACTTATCTGTGTTCTGACATTCTTTTAATATGCCCCAATCTTTTCAGTCTGCTAGCTCTCATGATGCCAGTGATCAATGGTGATTTAAACAGATTATGTGTTACGTTGTTGCTTCTCACTTTCCATTCACCGCTGTTAGCATCTTTGATGGGTCCAGAGATTTGTCGTAAGACTGTTTTTGAAAATGTTTAAAAAGGCCTCATCTCTTTTATTTCTGCTTCAAGTTTCAGAGCCATATAAAACGACTGGTCTTATCAACGTTTTATATATTTTGATCTTGGTGTTGCGAGACAGACACTTTGACTTTAGCAGATGTTGAAGGGCATAGTATACTTTAATTTTAGATTGTATTTTAGATTGTATTTCTTCTCTCAGCATATTGGAGCAGTTGAAGTTTGCACCCAAGTACTTATATGTTTCCGTTCGTTTGATTTTCATATTATCGACTTGGATGTGTCCACAGTTTATATTCTTTCCATGTCTAGTTAGTATTCGTACACAATAGTAAAAACTTAAAAACATTTTATGTTTTGCATCCTTCAGTCAGTCTGTGGTAACTAATGACTAGAAATGAAAGAATCCTTAGTATTATAACAAGTAACTCAACTTGAAAACTGTCACTCACAGCTTAGTTAATGCATGAAAGCTGAATTAGCTTTCAACAAAACCAATCATTCCATATTGTCAGTGTTAAGGCCGTGTATGCAGAAGCGGGTGTAAGGTAACTTCTATTCGTATTCGGCCCGACTGCAACAATTCGGCCGAATACCGAATAGTCAATAGGTCCACTATTCGGCCCTGAAGCGAATACGAAGCGAATATTCGGTACAGCCCTACTGGATTATGTAAGGTTATTGTACAATGTCACACCAAGACTAGATAAGACAAAGCTCATGTACAATATCGTTTGTCGGCAACAGTGCGTCCTAATGTTGGACGCAGTTTTGTTGTTTTGAAGCCCCACCTTCGCTGTTGTAACATAACCCCCACTAAGGGTTGAACGGTGTTTCCGGGACCCCCCCCCCCCCCCGGGTGATCCTCATCTGAATGGTGGCACTTTGTGTCACGTGTGTTTATCGCTCGCTGGGATGTCCTGGTGAAGTTGAACGTCAATTAGCACAATATTATACAAAGACGATCAAGTGACTGGATTAGGTGGAAAGAGAGGCAGAGGAAGACAGCGTGAGAAGAGTCTCGATAGTCTATTGTCATGTCATGGAGAAATGTCAACACACGATCTGATTCACACAGTTGCTGATCGCAGATTGTGGAGAGGCATGATTGCCCATGCCACTCAGCAAGGCACTTGATGATGAGTGTAGAATATATATTTGATAATTTAAAACTCATATCCTTACTCTTTTTTTTTGTATGTTACAACAGGGGCTGCGTGGTCTCGAGGCATGGTGTCTGCCTCGAGTGTTAGAGGTTCTGGGTTTAATCCCCGGTAAGGGCTGGGATTTTTTACGTGGACGGACCTCTAGTCCCTCTGGTCTCTGGGTAGTGAAATTGAACGCCCGTGTTCATTGTTGCACACGTAAACAACAATCCCTTGATATAGGAAATCGAAAAGAGTAGCCCAACGGCGCTGCCAAGACAAAATTTGGAGTTGAAAATCTACCTAAAGTATTTCAGGATCCTCGCCGGTGCTACAGAGTCTCTGCACTGTGCTGCGGTGACCGGGTGACAAACTCCTTGTGGTCTGGGTTCACGCCCGGGGGTAGGCAGAAAAGCAACATACCTCCCACATTTACGGTATTATCAAGGAATCAAGGCCGAAGGGTTGCGATATCCAAAATACCGAGCCTAAGGGTTACAACTCATGGCTTCTGGATACTAAAAAAAATATACTGCAGAATTAGGTCATGCTTCAAGATTAGTGTATGATAACCTATTGCGGCATCCACTATTCGAATTTTTACAAGTCTGCTATTGTATAAAATAAATTGAAAAGTAACAGTAAATGACCCTTTTCCACGACTTCAGGCGTAAGGGGCATTACGACTAGACCTATTTTTGGCTACTGTTAATGTTAGTTGCGTATCCTTTACAGGACGTTGCAGAACCAACTGGTTTTTCTAGACAAATGTACGTCCAGTAGTTTGCCATTGCTTTCTGGACAGTCGCCTTTTTTGATACCACTGTCGAAACCAACGCAAGGCGCATGGCCCGCAGCTGGGATCGAACCCGGCATCCAGGCATTACGAGGCGTTCGCATCGACTTAGCCACAGAGCCGACACTTGGCTAGTGTATACTATTTTTTTTTAAATAGGGAGACAATCCGCCATTGTAGACTGGCTAATGTAGATCCTATAGTTTTCACATTTATTTCTCTAGTTTTTATCCTGATTATTCAACTGATAACAGTTTCAACTTTTTAGATGTTGGGACTAAGCTCAAACTCTGTCTGGTTTACATCTGCTGTCCCGAACTCATGACGCTGATAGAGTAAGCATTGATAATTAACCGTGGCCTGGTGTGAGCAGCCTTCGTAAGTATTTATTGACACTCGTGGAAGGACGTTAATTACCCCAACCAGTCCGGGTGTAGCCTAACCGTTGGAGCTCCTCTATATATGCCATGTTGTTGTACGAGGCTTTCGGAATTTGCACATGTAAGATTATCATCCTTGGGGTGTTATTTCCGTGGATTGCGATTCTGGCGGGAACAAACTAACTGCATAAAAAACAGTTTCGGTACATTTGGCTTTTTTTCCGGAATTAGTTTTTGTCGTGTTTCTCTTATGGAATTCAGCTAATCAATTTATAACATATTCTAGACTGTGGCCAGCATGAGCTGGCTGTGACGTGTCTGTCGCATTGAGGATGGTCGTATTCCAAAGGACCTACTGTATGGCAAACAGGAAACAGCGAATAGACCCATAAAAAAGGCCAAAGCTACGTTTTAAAAACATACGCAAACGTGACCTGGTAGATACCAAAATAGTCACAGAGACTTGGGAAAAATTAGCTGTAGATCGACTACTATGGCATCAGAAAGTGAAAGACGGATTGTCGCATTTTGAAAGAAACCAAACGCAGCGAGCTGCAGAAAGGAGAGGCCGGAGGAAAAATTTGCCTCGTAACGAGGGTGTATGACCTTGGCTCCCAGGTCGCCTCAGCCTAAAAGTGGGTACCGGGTGCTTTTTTTTACTATGCAGTCGTTCTATTCTTGCCCCCCCCCCCACCTCCTCCCACCCCCACCTCCTCCCACCCCCCCCCCCCTTTTTTTTAACCAAATGGGGCCCCGGCACCTACACGGGAAAACTCGTAATCCAATCTGAGCTGTTTTTTTTTTTTTTTCAGAAAATACTAAACATGGCGTCTGTGGGGCTGACGTGCAGACTTCTGCCTCTGTTTGTAGCCTTTTGGTTAATAATTGACACAGAGACACTTGAGGACTTCACTGGAAATAACGTCATGGGTCAGAAAGAAGTGATGACACAAGGAGGTAGGCCGTATTTAGTCTGTTCGTTTATCGTTTTTGTGGCAGTTTGTGAATTCTTCACCTCACTTCACACTGGGCTGCAGGTTACTTTGTATGAGTATCACAATTGCGTTACATAGTTGACGGGGTTGTGGGATGTTGCCCTGTTGGATTTTGCCCCTTGAGATGTTAATTCTAAGGACAACTATCTTGGACGGGAACAAACACTACCATCACAATCAAGCAATAATCAATCAGTCAGCATGTCCTTTACATAACGTCGTTCTCTACACGACACGCATGAAAGCCTATCTTTCTCTAGCCAGTTAGAGGGCACACAAAAAAAGGGGGGGGGGGGCGATGAATGAGACAAAATGGCCACTCTAACCATATTTAGACGTTTTCTTTAAAAAAAATGTATAGGCCAGGCTCTCTAGCGTAGTTGGCTAAACCGGATTGCGCGATGACCGGGTGACGAACTCCTTGTGGTCCGGGCTCACTCACATGGGTAGGCAGAAAAGCCACGTTTCTCCCAGATTTACAGTATTTACAATAGAATCAAGGCCGAAAGGTTGCGATATCCGTAATACCGAGCCTAAGGGTTACCAACTCATGGCTTCTGGATACTAAAACAAACAAACAGCAAAAAATGTATAGATACATTTTATATTATTTCACATATATTAATATACTATTCTGCCATACAGCATATAATAATTATAATAGTAATAATGATAATAATAATAATAACTACTGATATTAATAGCGTTATTGTTGTGTACTTAAAAAGGCTTAAGCCCCTTGAACCCTGCCCCTTGAAAATTATAAAAAGGGGGAGGGGAGAGGGGGGGGTGAGACTCATGCCTGCTAATAGCTGTTCCCCAACGTCACGATGTCAAACTGTCTGTATATTCCACAACGCCTCAACTCTCTTCTCTCTTTCCACAAAGCCAGAACAAGTTGATTTGTACCTAGAAGGCAACATCTTCCAAAACGGAGAAGCTTGATCGGTCATCATGCTGCAAGATGGGACCACAGTAGAAACGTCAGGCGCCTCGGGAAGCCTCTCAACAAACTTCAGAGCGTAGCAGCAAGCAATTATTGATTCAGCCCAAGTGCTTGTGGGAAAAACAGCAAAATTGTTTTCCTTTGTGACAGAATGCCAGTTCTCCAGGCGACTCAGAGGGATCCATGAGACAACCTGGAAAGAGAACTGACCCGCCAGCTAAACAGACTCACAGAAAAAAAAAATCAAATTCTTACCCAGTGGATCCCGGCTCATTGCGGCATACCAGGAAATGAGTTAGCAGACATCAGCATCATCATCATCATCATGTGCCTTGCCGACTGGCGTGGGCGATCATGCCTCGCCATAATCTGCGATCTCCTGCAGCATGTATCAGTTCGTGTGCCGACACACCTCCATGCCATGCAACAAGACTGTCAAGCATCTTCTCTCGTTGTCTTTCTCTATCCCTCTTTCCAAAGATCTTTCCAGTGGTCACAACATGTTCTACTTTCCCTCTTCTCATAACATGGCCAAAAAATGATGACTGTCTCCTTCTGATGACTGTGATAAGTTGTTTTCGGGCTCCCGCCTCTTTCAAAACCTCTTGGTTGCTCTTTTTGGCTGTCCAAGGTATTCTAAGCATTCTTCTGTAAAATCACATCTCAGAGGCCTGTAGAAATTGTTTGGCCTGCCTACCGATTGTCCAGGATTCACAGCCATATGTTCAAACTGGATGTATGTAGCAAGCAAGAATTCTTTTTCTAACTCTCAATGACAAGGATATATTGCACAAGATGTTTTTCATTTTATAAAATGCAGTTTTTGCCTGTCCAATTCTGTTTCTTATTTCAGTTATGCATCTTCCATCTGATGTTATCCATGTGCCCAGATACTTAAATTTCTGTACTTGTCCTAAAATAACACCATCGACTTTTTTTACACATTTAGGAATAATTTGTTTCTTTGATACCACCATTACTTCTGTCTTCCCATTATTCAAACTGAGGCCAATTCTTCCACTTTCTAACACCACAATGTCTACCATTTCCTGTAATTCTTTCTGACTTGTTGCTATCAAGACTGTGTCATCTGCATAACGTAAATTGTTTATATTGTGCCCACCAACCACACTTCCGGACATATTAATTAAAGATCTCATTATATATTCACTGTTTATTGTATTAGCAGACATACTTGCCAAAAATGAAACAAAGGAGAAAAAACGCACCCAATCATTGTCATTACCAGAAATCATTACACTTATCAAGGAAAAATACAAGAATCTGTGGAGAGAACAAACTAACAGTAAACATCAACAATACCCCATAAGCAGACTCAGCAGAAAGCAACATACAATAATTTTCCGTCTACGAAAAGGAAAC